TAAAATTGCAGTCTGGCAGCACCAAGTTTGATGTTTTGCTATCTTATTCATCGTTTATACGAAAACTTTAAGGACAAATTATATAAAAACTATAGGGTTGCTAGAAAAAAGGGGGGTATTTTTGAAATCACGGAGTCCTATTCTACCCCCCCTTCATCCACACTTTTTCTAGAATTTGCCGTCCGCATACTAAAATCTTCCCAAAGTAAGCATGAAATTAAGCTTGGAAACCCTGAATAAGCAAAATAAGTAATTCCAAGCTAAAGCTTATGTGGTCATCACATGCTGCTTACCAAGCCTACTCCCAATGACCACATGGAACATAATAGGCCACCTCTTCAACATTCACCACTTTCCCATATTCACAAAGATAAAAATAGCCCAGGAAAATGTAAAACACCACCGTGAAAAAAGTTTCTACTCGACCTGGCCAATTGGTAAAAAATTCAACAAAAATTTCGATGAACTATCAGAAAGACCGTATTGTGAAAACGCCAACAAAGAAGCCAACAACATAGCAAAATCAATCCGTCTAGCAGCCAACGTTTCCATTCCACAATCGTTCAACAAAATCAAAAAACACGTTCCTTGGTGGAATAAAACATTATCGGATTTCCGCAACCAAAAAATGACGGCCTGGCATGTCTTCCAAAAAGCGACTACACAACAAAATCTTCTAGAATACAAAAAGCGTAATGCCATCTTTCGAAGGGAAATGAAACGCAAAAAGACTGGTTTTGAAGATTTTGCCAATTCAATTAACATAAAATCAACTACAAGAACTATGGAGCAAAGTCCGGAGGCTAAAAACTGTAATAAGCAAACATCGATATACGCAATAAAAACAGCACAAGGTACAACAACCGAATCCAAGCCTATAGCCAACCTTCTTGCTCATAACTGGTCTCAATATTCCAATGACTCAAATTTGGCAGATGAACTTAAGCAAGGTAAAAACTCTTATATAACACCAAATCAACCAACTAACCCAACTGCAAGAAAAAGGGAAAATCCAGGTTTCGATCGAATCTCATATGCAATGATTAAGCAATTGAACGCATCTGCAAAGACAAGACTTCTAGCTTTGTATAACAACATTTTTCAATCGTACAATGCCGCAAAACTGGAAAAGTGCCACCGTCGTCCCCATCGCAAACCCCAAAAAAAGTCAAATCAGCTTGAATCTTATCGACCAATCTCGCTAATTTCGGGCCTGTCGGATAGTCGCGACGCGTCTACTGTGGTTTATAGAAACACGAAGTCTCATTTCATCCTGGCAGGTCGGATTCCGACATATAACCATATTTCCATACTATCATTAGACTTCAAAAAAGCGTTCGACAGAGTAGGAACAAATGTAATCTTAGAGAAACTTCAGCAGTGGGGAGTTGGACCCAAAATCTTTAATTTTATAAAATCATTTTTCTTAAACTGTAGAATTCGTGTCAAGGTAAACGGTGTTTACTCTAATTTATATCCACTATCAAATGGTATACCCCAAAGGTCGCTACTTTCGGTTTTACTATTTTCAATTGCATTCAACGAAATTAGCCATATAATACAAAAACACAAACTTGTCAACCATTGCGCCTATGTCGACGAAAATTTATGTACTATGCAATGCTAAGGATTATAAAGAATACACGAGGCCCTTGAAAATGTGTTGAGAGAAATTGCGACTGGACATTGACCTCGGGGCAAGAGTATCGCCTGGAAAAACCAAACAGCTGCACATTTGCAAGAAGATTAAATACTCTTCTCATAACTACTCAATCAGGCGATGAGCTGCAGATACTGGGACTCATATTCACAAAAACCTACACATGGAAGCGGTACCTATTAAAATTAAAAAACGATCTGGTCCCCAGAATCAATCTATAGCATTTTCAGTTTAAATGAAACCATTTTCAAATTAAACGAAACCTTTTTCAAATTAAATGAAACATATTTCATGTTAAGCGATACCTTTTTCAAATTAAATGAAACCTTTTTCAGATTTAGTGAAACTTTATTCAAAATAAATGAAACTTTTTTCAAATTAAATGAAACTTTATTCAAATGAAATGAAACTTCTTTTTTGGGCATATATGTAATACTCCTATAAATTTTCTTGAGTCAAATTTCCTTAAGGCAGTACGCAGTTCTTAAGAAATTTACTACGCTTTCTACTACGGTTTTCTAAAGTTTTTTTGTGAAAAAAGAGCACAAGGCAACCCAGGCTTGCAACAGAAATATATGCCCGTTCCATTATTTCTTGAGGAAAGAGTGAGGCAACAGGCTGTGAGGTATCAAAAATGTCAAAATTCCTTGATTCGTTGAATTCGTTTTCTTGAGAGCTGCATACAGGGCTTATTTCGCGTGTGTGTCCAAGGAATTTTGACATTTTTGATACTTCACAGCCTGTTGCCTCACTCTTTCCTCAAGAAATAATGGAACGGGCATATATTTCTGTTCCAAAAGCACTCTTAACATCATAAAACCCATATACTACAAAGCCATTAGAACTAGTATCTCCGCTTTTCGCACCACATCAATAAAAAATCTTCTTATTGAATCGGGTTTACCCGCACTAGAGGAACGGATATAAGAGATTAATTCCAAATTAATACCAAAAATTGTTTTCCCAAACACATCCGTAATAAAAGAAGACTTACAAAAACTTCTACCATCCAAGTGTAAATTCATTGTCACTCCTGCTCTGCTGAAAATACGTCAACTTAGAAGTAAAACCAGGAATTCCCCGCAACTACAGTCCGGCTTGGAATTAAAACACTCATGCGACATCACTTTCCACATTTATAAAAAAGACAAATCTCTAAACCTAAAATTTAAACAAATTTTCCTTGAGAGGGTCAATACCTCTAAAAATATCGGCTGGTCCATCGTATTTACCGACGGATCAAAAACGGAAGACAACGTTGCTTTCAGCATAACATCCGAAACTGGTGTATATATTAGCTTAAAATCCATGGTCTCATACTCACCAGTATTCTCTACCGAAGCAGCAGCAATACACGAAGCCTTAGTATTTGCTCTCCAAAAAAGAACAAAAACCATAATATGCTCAGAAAGCCTATCGGTTATCCAAGCAGTTAAAAATCCAACTTGCAACACTTGTGAGACAATTAACCATATAAGAGAACTACTAATAAGAAATCACAAGTCACTAATGTTACTATGGTACCCAGGGCACGCAGGAATCGAGGAGGATGCTGACGATGCGTTCCCACGACAGTCGGGTCTACGTAACCGGAACGACCCAGATTTATATTTGGCCAAGGACTGTCACTCCAGCAACTTGTATGCTGCTACAACAACAACAACATGCCGCGAAATTTGCCTGCAACTCTCCACAAATAGCCAGCCCGAAAATTAAAAAACTCGACATTAAACGACATATAAATTTATGCATATCAAAGGAGAGACGAGAATCGCTAAAAACTTATAAACATACGTACTACACCAACAAGGAATATACCCCTCCACATTACCCAACAAATGTACATGGTTTCAAAGCAAGCATTTTTCTCACCTTCGTCTTGGGCATACTACTGAAACACACCAGTACATTTTAAAGAAAGAAAATCACCATATCTGCACCGTCTGTAACACCAACCAAACATTACACCACATCCTAAACGACAATGAAATATAGCGAAATGACAATATAGCGATAAGAGATGAAACCGAAAGATGACAATCAACATAGAGCTGATGGTCTCGGAAGCCAGTGCTCATAACCATATTTAGTATATTCATACCAGTGTCTAAATAATAATAATAATTTTATAATAAATATATATTGTATTTTGAAGTGAATTGTTTTCGTTATTTTCTTGTTAAAATGTATGATTTGTTTATTTTTACTGGCAACAAAATATTAGGAAAATATTTTTAATCGCATATTTTACTTGTTTATAGCGCATATTTTTAAATTTTTTCGATTTTTTTAGTGCATGAGATTCCGAGCCTACATATAACGTATGAACAAAAACTTTTTTGCGTAGTAAGGGTTATAACCCCTAGCGTGACCGAAGGCCGCCTACGCAGAAAGACGTTCCGCCCCTTTTCTCCGGCAAAACAGAAAAGAGAATTCTATCCCGCGCCAAGAAATGGTCATTTTTCCATCGGTTCCAATTTACCACACAAATCAAAGTTGGCTAAAAAAAATAGATAATCTCGGATTCACGGTAAAAAAGACAGTTATTCGCGCACTTCGAATATCACCGCCCGTGATTACGGCAAATAAACACTTTTTCAGAAATTACCGTCAACGGTAAAAGTTACCGTGGCGCGTGGGAATAGACACTTTCTATTGATAATCAGCCTCAATCGAGTATCGTGTCGAATCCACGCTAGTAGATATCTATGTAGTGTATAAAAACATTTGAGAGCACTTATTTCACTTCGATAGTATGTATTACCATTTTTTTCGAATCGTGCAATTTAGTACAATTTACTACTAACGAAATGAAGCTGGTTGATTAATATCTCTCCAAACTAATTAGGAGTAGAACCAGGCTGCTGTGCCTACTTATTCTTGTTTCCGATTCCATTAAGCTTACCGATGGTTTCCATTTCGCCTATGTTGTAGATTCGTCATTTAAGGTCTTATAACTTATTTCATGTTCTAATGATTAGTTGACCATAATGAAAATTATTCTTATTTAAGTTGCTGAAAACATAGCTGAAGAAGGATTGCAATTGACAACATACATATCCTTATCATCTTCCTTATTATTATTATCGCTTTCTTTCACATTAGGACAACTTTCTTTAAAATCACATGCTCACAGCTGCACTTGTTTCTTCTTCAGAGTTAGCTTCATCTTCATCTCCGACTTCGGTTCTACTGTTTACAACCTTAGCCAAACAATTTTCATAATAGGATACGCATAAGAGTTAAAGATATAATTTTTTAAACAAAACACTAATTTATTTATAAGTTCACCAAAGCTTCTTTTATTACATATATTTCTATGATTTTTTTTCAATTCAAGTACATTAAAGATACTGGCTTGGAAGCGGACCGTCATTGTTTGCGCTGCCTATTCTCGGTCATCAATTTTGATGGTACGCTGTCAACAAGTCCGAATTCGAACTACAATTTCATAGTACAAGCACAAGCAAAGTTACTTGGCTCTCAGTTGGAAATTCAATTGACTAGAGTGTCTGCTATATCGAATATTTGCTTTGCTGTGGACAATTGCTTTCCTCAACAAAAGGTTTGTTAAAGGGATACACTATTAAGAGTATATATGAATAAAATGTTAACTTACAAATATTATATAAATATTTTTTAGACTCTTAAACCGACACCACAACTTATAGCGCAAATAGCTAAAATAACTGGAATAAGTAAACTCTGTGAAGTGGTATTGTCCTTAGCACTAACACACTCAACCCAGCCTGACTTACGTCGGTACTCTCAGGAACACCTGAAACTTTCATTTTCCGAACTAATTGAATCATTCTTGGGTAAAAACGAAACCAGCTCTGCTGCCAGAAGCACCTTACCGGAGGTGTCGATTGATATCTTGCAACTACTCCTAATTTGTCTAGATGAGTTCGTAAGCAAAGAACTGAAGAATAAGTTCTTGGGTTTATTACGAGAACAATTTCCGCTTGAGCGCGTACCGCTCATATTAGCGCCACATTTATATCGTCAACCTCATTGTGATTTCGAAGAGGTAGTTAGTGAGCAAACTGCACCATTGTCCGTAGCGGATGCAGAATTTGATGAAAAAGACAACACTACCCTGGCTGCTGATGGAGTCATCGCTTGTCAGCATTTAACGGAAATTGGCATTGAAGATATCTATGACAATTTATGCCAGACAATATTGACAACACAGGTAGCTACTAAGATATTTGTAAAAATTCCAACGATCAAAGAAATGAATGCTCCTTATGATTTTCAGGTGAATAATAATATTATGGACACATCCTGGATTAATTTAATCCTAGAGATTGGTTACGAATTCACTTCGAGCGTTGAAGAATGTAAGAATCATCTACGTTGTGGTTCGCGCGAACTTCAATCACAGGATGTGGCCAAGATCATTGGTCTTATGTGCCGTAGGCACTCATCACTACTTGACTGCAATGTGAATTTGGGTACTCCGGCCAATTTTTGGCCTGGCCAGGCGGGCACTGTGCCCGGCACACAACAACAACAAAATGTGGCCAATAATAATGATGGTAGTAACGTAACGGGCAGTGGTGTTGATAAAACATCCAATGTGAATGATAAAAAAGACAAAGTCGGCGGAAGCGCAGCCGGAACAACCAGCACAGAAACCACACAGGCATGGAAACCAGATGTGTTTGTACATGCACTGAAGGAGGTAGTGTCACAGTTGAACTGGAAGGAGGTGTGCTTGGGTAAGTAATTTTTAAACCAAAAGGTCCCGTTGTATTAACTTACAAAAACATTTTTATAGAACTGGATCATCCTGAATTCATATTGAAGGATAGAATCGGCCTCGACCTTCTGCTCACTATTTTCCGCTTGGGCACACAATCTGCTCTATTTCCCCATCCAGAATGCATATACCGTCACTGGCAGAATGTAAACGGACAGCTATCGCTAATAGCGGTTATGCTAAAGAATCCAGATTTGTGCTCCTTTTCCGATTATATCTTTACTGCAGCACCAGTGGAAATGCTAAAGACACCCCCAGACACTGACAACAAAGAGGTTTGCGCCTGGAAATCTCTGCACTTAGTGGAAGTTTTACTTTATATTGCCGATCAAGGCTACTACCCACAAGTGATAGAATTGTTTAAGTTCCCAGCGCAACATTGCCCGGATATACTATTTCTATCATTATTACACATTAATCCACCAATAACTGCACTACGACAGGAACTCTTCAGTCAACTCATACCGACTTTCCTAACAAATCATCCGAATTCCGGTGTAATACTGCTCAATGCATGGAATTCCGCAAATTTTGGGGTTATTCTGCGTCCCATCATTATGCAAGCCATGTCAGAATGGTATCAGCGCGGCACCGAATACGATCAAGTCAAACTGTCGCGGATTCTCGATGTAGCGCAAGATTTAAAAGCTCTATCTACGCTGCTCAATGAACGTTCTTTTCTGTTCGTGATTGATTTGGCATGTCTGGCCTCGCGTCGAGAATATCTAAAGTTGGAAAAGTGGCTGAGTGATAAGATACGCGAGCATGGTGAACCTTTCATACAGGCTATTTTGAAATGTTTACAGCGACGTTGTCCCCAAATTACCAATGCTAAGATACCAGAGAGTCAGTTGCCATCCAAACAAGCTCAGCTACCACCCGAAACTGTAACAACTATGTTGCAATGTTTACAAGCTTGTATTGGCAATGTTCCACCAGAAATAGCTGATCTCATAATGCAAATGACAGCTAACTGTTCCATTATGGCAAATAAGGCAAGAGCTGCCGTACCACCGTTAGTGCCACAGCTTCCGGGTGTTATGCGTGGACATCGCGGTATGGATATGGGCGGTGGTGTGCCGGGAGTGCCACCCCCACCTTTCTCTGCCAATTTGAATGCACAACAAATGTTTGGCCCCACAATGGACACCCTATCTAATTTAACAACAAACATAGCCAATTTGAATCTTGGTGGACCCAATGGAGCCTTCAATTTCGGTAATGTTCTAGGTAAGTTAAAAATAGAGTGATTTCTTCTAAATGAATCGGAATCTATATAAGTTCTTAAGAATTCAAAATAACTTGCTGATAATTCGTAAACAAGTACCTATTTTTACGTACATATTTTTACATGTACATATCATATCGTCACCAGAAATGCAAAAAGACGTAACAACATCGTAACTGAAATGGAAAAAGTCGTGACTAATATTTTTTTTTCATAAAGTGATGTGGGAGTTGTAATTCGATGAAATCCACCATATCAATCAAAAACTCAATTTTGATTTTTTTTATTAGTTTCGACTTTTTGTATTTAAGCGAGGATGTTTGTTACGTCTTTTTGCATTTCAGGTGACGATATGTAACTTACTTAAAAATAAAAATGCGGCATTCCAAAACGTCAAAATACAAAGCACCAGTCTCGTTTACTTCTAAACCTCAGTAGATTGTAATGCCAAATGTGTGCAACCACGGTTAGATCCTAGTTTTCCACTAGGTTTCGCCAATTTGACTTCTTTTTCTAGTGTGGTTTCGAAATGGAAGAGACTGATGCTTTGTATTTTGACGTTTTGGAATGCACCCAAACTTTACGTATATGTGCTATACATTTATGTGCATACGTAAATCTACATTCATTTACGTTGGCGTAATTGAAAAAAACTAATTCATAGGTAATTTGGCGTCTACACCAGCTTCTCCATCTCGTCTTATGAATCCAGCTGCCAGTCCATACCCATTGAATGCAATGCAAATGCCCCCTCCTAATGTTGGCAATTTGGCACGTATGCCACCAACAGCACCACAACCCACACCCACGCCACCAAATCCCATCAATCCGGGCATGGCCGATCTGCAGGGTCCCGTCTCCAAGGAGGTCGAAGATGAGGCCAATTCATACTTCCAACGGATCTACAATCATCCGCCACATCCCACACTCTCGATTGACGAAGTACTCGACATACTGCAACGTTTCAAGGATTCCAACATACGTCGTGAACAGGAAGTCTACCAATGCATGTTGCGTAACCTCTTCGAAGAGTATCGCTTCTTTCCCCATTATCCCGAAAAGGAGCTTCAAATTACCGCACAATTATTTGGTGGCATTATTGAGCGAAACTTGGTACCAACATGTGTGGCATTAGGTTTAGCTTTACGTTGTGTTTTGGATGCTTTACGCAAACAGGACTCGAAGATGTATAACTTTGGCATAACGGCATTGGATCGCTTCAAAAATCGTTTACACTCATACAACAAATACTGCGAATATATTCGTTCCATTGCACATTTTCACGAATTTCCACCGCATTTGATACAGTATGTGGAATGTGGCTATTTGCAACAGGAACCACCACCAGCTAAGATACAAATGCTGATGTCTGGCACTGGACAACAGGCGCCGCCCGATTCGATTTATCGCAGCAATTCAGTGACTGGTAAGTTATTTTTCAAATTAATTTTTTATTTAGTTTCCCTTGAATCAAAAATAAACTATCTTAAAATTTTGAAGTATATACATATATAGCCGACTTTTATGAAAGCAACTGCAACTGGTTTTTTTAATATTTACCGAGCAAATTAGCTTTACTAGTACTCTTGGCGAAGTCCTCTTTATTCATAAATATGCTTAGCAACTAACTTCTTCAAAGTAAAAAATTTCGACGGTCTAATTTCGTACTAAATTTATTAAAGCTTTTGGAATCTATCTACGGAATTAAGAAATTAAACTTTATTTCTTATGTTTTGTCGTTGACGTTGCGAAGATTTGTATCTAAATATGAATAAGCAGGTGTCCACTGATTTAAAAGATCTTCGAAAGGCAGATTGTGCGGCAAATCGGGGAAATTAAAAAAAGCCACATTCCACAGTCAATATATCGAGCCCTAACCGCCAAAATAACGCAAGCGAAATTTTTTTCAAAATTTTATTTTTGATGCAGAAATATTCCTCGGGCATCTAGATGTATTTCTGCATCGAAAAGAAAATTTTGAAAATAATGGCGCTTACGTTATTTTGGCGGTTAGGGCTCGATATTGAATAATTACAAAGAGCCTCGATGTTTCCAAAGAGTAGGCAGCACTGGAAAAGCTTTCAAAATTACGCCAGTAGATACTGACAGGTAATTTCTAAACAAAGAACAAATCCGACTTCAATTCTCATATAAAAATTTAAGATTATTGTTAATTCTTCAAGATCTAATGATTGCATCTAAGCCAATTAAAAAAAAAGAACCATAAAAATCGGTTAACGTGGTCCAAAGTTATGTGGTAACATACATAAAAAAAAAATATTCCGACGAATTAATAACCTCCTTTTTTGAAGTCGGTTAAAAAGAAAAGATCTTATTGATAGTTCAAAATTCAGTTTATGCAACTTTAATAGAGGGTGACTTTAAAGCTAGAAGGGCTCATTTTGGAAAACATTGCAATGATTGCTAATTTTAAAATCACTTATAGCAAACTCATTCCTGTTGTTATAAAATTTGGCATAAATAAGCTGATAATTCGTAGAAATATAGTTAAGCATCAATCAAATTTTCACAAGAGTACACAATTTAAATTAAGCGGCACAATTGAAGGCATAACAGTCGTTCCCACGACAGTCGGGTCTACGTAACCGGAACGACCAAGATTTATATCTGGCCAAGGACTGTCACTCCAGCAACACTCCCCAAAAAGTCTTTGGGGAATTTGTATGCTGCTACAACAAAAAGGCATAACAGTTTCCTTTAATAATATTGTTCGTAAAAATACAATAATTTGCAGTGGTAGAAATAAACAAATATTCCCAAGCAATGGTGGAATTCAGGCGTCAAACGTTAAGTTAAGTTATTATAAATTAGGCATACGGCGATTGTGCTATACCATAGTTATGGGCCTTGCCCTTAAGGTATAACCGCCCCTGACACCATCTTGTAAATAGTGGAATAAAGTCGCATTTGATATTTGATAGCGAGAACGCCGGATGTATTTTAATAACCACTTAGCCTTCTGAATTATTATCAGAAGTTGTCTTTTGACCCATTCACTGGTGCACAGCCGTGGGACTCAGTGCGAGCGGCGCAAAGGCATCGCTTGCCACAAGACTGGGCCAGTTATCGACCCAGGGACTTGAGCTGTGCCCAGAAGGAAGTACAACGGACCAAGGCGACGGAGCAAACGTTTGCGATGCCACAGACATAGATATGGATCCAGAAAACGACGAAGGTGCGTATATTCTGGAAAACGAAAACGTGGATAACGGCACAAACAACGGTGCGAACGGTGGCAAAAAAAACGGCGCGAGCATTGGTGCGCACTAGGAATGCAGAAGCAGCTACCATCCGCGGATGCGGATGCAAATGTGGATTTTAAGTATTTTTAAGAAGAAAATAAGAAAATGGAAAGGTAGGTTAGCAGTTTTTAACAAGGATGCATTGTAACGTTAATTTGAGCGTTTACTAAAAAAATTGAATCGGTTCTGTTGAAACGATTCAGTTTTTTATCGCTTAGGTAATTATCAAAATAATTCTATTTTGGTTTTTAACGAAAAGAATTTCAATCGTTAATGCTGGAGTTGTAGCATGCATTTAGGTGCTAGGTGTCAATAATGAGCTGGCAATGGCATACAACAACAACTTTTCGTTGATTTATTTTGTTTTAATGTTAACGATTGTTGATTTATTTCGTTTCAACGTTAACGATTGAGTTCTGTTTCGTTAATTCAGCTCTGAAACAAAACGAAATTATTTTGATAAGTTATTTTTGCGCATCAACAAAACGAAATCGATTCATATAGTTTGTTGAGCATCTCTGATTTTTAATAATGTTTATTTTACTTAGTACTTGAATTTAAAAATTGGAACATTCGGGCAGGTTCTGCAATTCACTCCCGAGAGAATCTCAACCCCTGCCAATTTGAATTCAAAGCGAACCTGACTCAAATTCACTCGGAAGTGGATTGCAGAAACTGCCGGAATATATTTAATAAAAAGTAATGAGAATTGCATCGGGGCTGTTGTTGTTGTTGTATCAGCATACAAATTCCCCAAAGACTTTTTGGGGAGTGTTGCTGGAGTGACAGTCCTTGGCCAGATATAAATCTGCGTCGTTCCGGTTACGTAGACCCCCGACTGTCGTGGGAACGAATTGCATCGGGGCTGAAAGTGGCCGCTGTATCCTCCTGACTTTCATCTTTACTCGAGGAATCTTGCATAATGGCGTGATCGTTGTTTAAACAGCGCTTACAAGCCAAACCAGATGTGTCATGTTTTTCTAAAGGTTTTTAAAAATAATTCTTTATGATCATTCCTTTGGATGTTTCAGAAATTGGGGAACTTGTAACGTCATCAGCGTTTTTCGATTTTAGTCTTTGTAATTCATTTTTAATACTTTCTTCTGTGACTGGTTTGAAAAATGTGTGCTTATAGCGAGCTAAATAGGTGAATATGGGAATTAATTATTTTTTTCCCAGGAATGAAACTTTTGAACAAATTCCGTTTTTCAATTTCGTGGCTGCCAGTGGAATCGGATCACAATATTGTTATTTCTGTCTCAGATAGTTACGTAATTATTACCTAATTAAAGGTCAGACATAGCTTTTTAATTATTTGAGCATCGATTTTCTTTATAGTCAGACGTTGACCATTTCTATTGCCCGACAAGTAAACAAAACTAATTTTGCTTAGAATAAATTCCCCAAAGAGCCCCATTTGAAACGATTGAAACGAATATATGTAACATCAAAAGCAATTCACGAAAATTTGGTGCACACTTTTATGTCTAGTAGTTTTTTTAAGATTGGTCCAAAAAAATCATAATAAAAAAAAAAACAATGCAGGTTTTGAAAGCACAGACAACAAACAAAAAAATATTATTAAAAGGACTATGTTTCCTTGACGTACGTCAAAGGTCAAGTAGAAGTGGGAACTTGTATGACTGCCCATTGATAGCTCGGTTATATAGCTTAAGAAATAATATGCTTATAGACATTTCTGTCAAAGTTGATAAATATGACACTTGACCAGTTTTGTTACACAAATACTCCCACGACCGCAGGCACAAAATATTGGCTACAATTTGTCATTTTGTTTGCCAGATATACGTTTTATCAGTGCACTTGCACAAGATTCGCAATCGCAAAAGCTCCGCATTGATTATTGCGAATGCGAAAGCGCATGCGAATGTTAAAATTAACGCGGAAGCGAAAGCAAATATTCGCAACAACCCTGGTGCGCACGACGACGAGGCTATCAATGGTGCGGACAACGGAACGAGCAATGACAACATCGAGATTGTTTACACGGCGATCCTACAAACGGGAGTGCGTCGAGAAGTAATATTACATTTACATTGGACCAAAATGCGTGATTTGAAATCAGTCATTTGAAGGTGTTTACACTGCTTGATCCGCATTTGCTTTGACTTCTCATCAAATGAAAAGGGAAGACAAAAACAAAATGTATGTAAACAAACACTACATTTATTATATTGTTAACGCTTTTTGGACACAAAAAGGCAATTATTCTTTGATTAAACTAAAAATGTGTAAAGCTCTTGTATAAATTAACAATTTTTACACACAAATTTCTAAGATTTATTTATTTCGTTGTGTTTGTTTTGTGTTTGAAAAATTCCAAATGTCAAAGACAAACCAAAGCTTTTGTGGAACTTTTGTTTCTGAGTGCGTTCAATAAAATAGTACGGCAATTGGAACGCATTTGTTTCGTGATTTTGTGTGAATGCGTCGAAATGCGTCATTCTGGAAATGTGAATTTGTATGGAGAAATGCGTGATTTGGCCTCGCATTTGAGGTTTCTCGCCCAAATGACGCATTTGGGCTCAATGTAAATGTAATATAAGTGTGCTGCATGTAGAAAATGTCCGCTTTGGTAGACGTAGAATCAGGTGATTATATTTGTCAGGACGGCTGAGTTGTTAGAGTATATATTATACCTGCACTAAACGTTGAGTTATTGGAAGCTAAGCATAACGCGTTTGTGTCTATACCATAAGTGACAGAGTTATGAGTCTAGCTCTTAAGGCGTGACCGCCCAGGGCACCATCCTGTAAATAGTTAGTGGAATAAAGAGACATTCGATATTTGATAGCGAGAACGCCATAACCACTTAGCCTTCTGAATATTTAAAAATTGAGGAATAATGCGTGGAAGAGTTATGAAAATTACAGATCTTAAGAAAATATGCCAATGACCAACTCCCTTAGACCTTGCAGGTCCATTGTGATACCACTGTGAAACAGTGAAGCTCTCATGAATCGCAGAATTTATTGTATTCCTACACCGGATAGTTCCGTGAGAGAGACGAAAAAGTGCCTACCTAGAAAGCCCGCTCTGCTCTTAGCTAAAGCCGGGCAGCTGCAGCAGAAGTGCTCTACTGTTTCTTCTTCTTCCACATCTCTGCAACTTCTGCAATATTCATGGGGAAAGTATTCCTAAT